CCATCGATTACAAACTTAAAGAATTAGGTTTTTGTATTTTCGTGTCATCCATGTTGGGACACGAAACGTTTGCGAGGGTTTGTCTTTTTATATTTATATTTTGATTGGACTATTGAGAAAGTTTGTTATTAAAAAAAAATAAAAAATGGGAGACGCAACAGCGAGTAGGAAAGAAGAAGAGAGCAAACCTCCAAACAAAATTATTCATACCTGTCCATTCATAAAGGTATAAATAATTACTCTTTTTATGGAATTGGCATTGGTAGAGAGTGAAATGTAATACTACAAGCGTAAAATTAAGCTAATAACTTATTACGCAGACATACCTTTTGACAAGTTCTGGGCTTTTACATGAATTATAAGACCTTACGGTTTTTATTATGAATTTTAAGGGCGTAAATCCTAACTGTAATAACCTATTTTATATTTAACCATTTGAACAATGTTAACTAGTTTTTTAGCATAACTGTAGAGGCTCAAGTTATATAACAAGTCCCTAAATATTTGTAGATAGTGTAGTGATAAACACAAACCGTGAACTTTGGACTCATGGAGTATTGGATCAGTTTATAAAAATATCTGTGAATGGCTATATGTATAATTGAGTTTCTAATACACGTTAAATCACTCTAGCTAGTGCAATTAATGTTCTTTAAAATTTATATGTCTTTCCTTCTTTTCTTTACAGCATTCAGACATGAATGAGGAAATGAAGGTGAAAACAATGAAATTATGTGTCACAGCCTGTGAAACATTTGCCAACAACAATGAGGTTGTTACACTAATCTCTTTTATATTAGTGTACTTATTGTATTGTAGCAAATTTGTTTTTTACATTGCACATTCAAGATGATTCAACTAAAGTTATTCCATTAAAAAACTGACACATATTTTCTTAGGCTATAATGTGTAAATATAAAAAAAACATTACCATGGACTATGTTTTTCTTAACACTTTGTTTGTTTTGTTTTGAATTTCATGCAAAGCTACATGAGAGCTATCTCCACTAGCCATCTTTAATTTAGCAGTGATAGGCTAGAAGGAAGGCAACTAGTCAACAACACCTACTGCCAAATCTTAGGCTACTCTTTTAGCAACAAATAGCGGGATTGACCATAACATTATAACGCCCCCACAGCTGAAATGACGAACATGTTTGCTGATGGGAATTTGAACCAGTGACCCTCAGATTATGACTCAAGCACCTTAACCACCAGGCTATGCCAAGTCCTGTTAACACTTAACAGCTACAAGTTACACCAAATTACATTTTATTAAGAATAAAAACTAGTCTGTTTGACTTGCCTGGTCACTAAAGATGTTGTGAGGGTACTAAATGCAGACACTGTACTTTCTTAGTATTTAAACATGTTAGCTAAAGGTAATTTTGATGTCACAAGGTAAACATGTAGTTCATTGTCTAGAATTTTTCTGAAATTTTAGAAAATTATTTTAATAATATAAAGTTACACTAAATTATGCAGTTGATTATTTATGCCAGTTAGTTAGTTCAGTGCTGCAAATTTTGAGATAGTATTTCAATGAAGTACTTGAGATACTGGAGAAATTAGCAGGTAAGTTACTGTTTAGTGTTATATATATGTGGAACTTGTAGTAGAAGAAATAAAATGTTTTTATCATTTTTTGCTGAATAAACCAAAAGAACCCACTTAACAATAGAAACCATTACAATACTAGTGTCAGAAGTGGGATTATTTAGATAAACAAAAAATAAAAACCCAACTCTAAGATGATGACTTGCTGAAGAGATATTGAAGATTCTCTAGAAAGATGAACCACTGAAAAAATTATCAAGAAGAAAAAGACCAAGAGAGAAAGTTGTTATAGGAATTTTGAAAAAATAGATTTCATTAAAAGTAAGATTGAGGAATCATAGAAAATTTACAGAAGGATGATAACAATAATAGAACTGAAGAAATACAAAAGGGTATCAATGGAGTAAAAAGGGAATTATACAAGGATTATAAAAAAACAATGATAATAATAAGATCTAAGAAGCCATAGGTAATGTACAGAAGGACATCAATGAAGTAAAGAAGGGCATCATCGATGCCAGGATAAGACATTTGGAAACTGAACTGGAAAATATAATGGTGAAACCAGTCACATATTTCACTGCATCTACTCAAGAATCCTAGCTTCAAAGTATGCCATATTGAATAGGAGAAACCATGTTGTGTCATCTGCGACTTTTGGACTTCTTCTGCTACACCACTGCTTCATTGAGTTATGGAATTTAGTAGGCGAGTTCAAAACATTGTCTAATTGTAATAACCATATTATGATGCTAAGGTACCTAGGAAGCATATCAGACACACTTTGAAATAATTTCAAAGTTAACGGATGGAGTAATGAAAAGCAAAGTATGTTTTGCTGCTCGTATAAAAGGACCAGCTATAAAAACATTAAGCACCCTTCCAACTCAGAGCTGTAACAACTATCAGACACTTGTTTTTCCCCTTACTTCATTTTTTTCTGATAAAAATTCTGGCAATTTTTTTTGTAATAGAATATTTTAAAAACATCATAATATAAAAATAAAATTGTGTTATAGTTTTTGCACTTATGACTCTTAAATTTCTATATTAACAGGTGTCATAATTTCTAAAAATTGTTAATTATCAAAATTAGAAGAAAAACTTCTCAAGTTTCTGTGTACCCAAATCATAGAACTTCACCTTCTTTCTACCTTTAGAATGTTTTTAGAATACTAAGACAGTTTTAAGCATTTAATAATTTTTAATTCGTAGGGTGCTGCAAAGATGATAAAGGAAACTATGGACAAAAAACATGGCACGTTGTGGTTGGAGAGAATTTTGGCCTGGAGATAACTTACAAAAGAAAAAATGTTATGTACATGTTTTTTACTAGGAGCTTGGCTGTTTGTGTTTGGAAATGTACATAGCCATTTTACATACGAGCTTTCAAGAAAGTGCAATATCTTTATTGTGTAGCATAGTATAAAAAAAAAAATGCAGGGTAAAATTTTGTAATATTACATGTTTTGATACTCTACGGTATAGGCTTTATACATTCCTCTATGATTTTATGCAATTTGTTGTGAAATATTTAAATAATTCTAAGTTTACTGTATAATTAAAAATGAAATGATACATTTTACAAATGTTAATTAATAATGATTTATATATAAATATTTATACACACACACACAGAGCAATTGTCCATTGTGTAACTTGTACCTCAGATTGACTTTATTTCAGTAAAGACATTTGATATATGTGTTATTCAACCTATTTGTATCAAATTTCTACATACAAGTTCGAAGAGAACAAACCTTACCCATAGTTTCAAAGCAGTGCATGTGACAGGAATGTTATTATTACAAATAAATACATATAAATTGTTGTACATGTTATATTTTTACCTGGAGTTTTATTAGCACATTTTCAAAAGTATTGAATGCACTATGGTAGTAGCAATTCAAGTAGTAATAACACTCAGAATTCAAAAAACATTTTCTTTGAAAATAATTTCAATACTTACAGACCAGATTGTATTACTACAATGCCCAAATCCAAATTTCTTAAATATTTTCCTGCACATTCTCAGGCATTTCCATTATAGAAAAAAATGTATAATGCAGTACAGAACAAGCATTTTAAGACTATTACTACAGAGAAACTAGTCTTAAAGAATCATAAACTTCTATGTATCCTGCATGTATTAGTGCTTACTTATTTTCCTAAATATAATGATAGTATACAATTCACAAGTGGAAAGAAGAATGAATATAAAATTATTTTCCATTTTGTGGTCTTTTGATAAGTAATTTGCATATTCAAGAAGGAAGTATTCATATTTAATTTCTGAGCATTATTTAAACCAGCTATCATAATAGTAATCTATAGTAATAAAAGGATGAGTACCAAACATCAGTGTAATTTATGTACAACCCCAAGATACCTGGCAATATTCTTCATACAAACAAGTGGAGTGAAAATTAGATTTACAATATTCAAGATTCTGTATTTTAGTTGCTTGCTTCTATTCCACCCGATTCCATTTGTCACTTCAGATTCATTGTGTGCACCGGATCAGGTCCGGCAGACCGAGTAGCAGCAGACCAACATTTTGTCACAGTAACTGTAGGACTTTTTAAACTTTAACTTGCACTTCAAAAATTGTTTCTAGGTAAATAGATAGACTTACAGTAGTATGTACGAATCAGAATAACAATGCATGTTAAAATACATGTGTAATCTGTAAGTGTACATGCTTGTGCTCACTTATAGCTATGGTGAGTACAAGTGCTAGTGAGCACCTATTTTTATGAACCATAAAGAAATCTTTGCAAATGATTAATACTTTCAATAAATTGTAGTAAAATTAGCATAAAATTCAATCTAAGAGCATCTATTTTTCAAAATTTTCCTGAAGAAGCTGGCCCCCAGACCCCCCCCCTAGCACTGGCATGCTTTGCACACTATTCTGAGTTGCCTGATCAATCTAAAAATGCTTCCTCCACTCCTGTTAATTTTTGACATTACAGGATAGTGTGCCACGTAAGACATTTCTGTAGGTTTAATATAGCTATTGTATTTTTTTTTCTAATTTAACAATAAATTTCTATATCTACATGCATGTTGTTAATGTACCTTATGTTGAATCAAAATGTTTACATACTATTCAAAAGTTATGTTTTATCACAAAAGGGATCATAGATTCTTCCTGTTCTTCTTAGTCAGATATGTTACTTTTAGATCCAAGATTAACAACACTTTCATTCTAGACTTTTAGGAATGCAGAACTCTGTACTGGTGACTTTTTATAATTGATAAATGCTTTGATGTGAAAAAATCTTTCAACCAAACCTACACCAACAATTTTCTGAAGGTGTTACTAAAACAACTTGTCTTTGTTTCTTTATACATTACTTTCAAATATAGTTGTATTTATATATGAAAGTTTTATTAAAAGTACAGAAAAATTAAAACAATAATTAAAACTCAACTGCACATTAAACAAGTGACAAAAATTCTTGTTTATTACTTTTTTTTTTGGACAATTTACAAATATGTGGTTATAATATACGTGTTAATTTCAAACTGTGGAAATAGAAATCAATATTTTTGTGGGAGTATGGTCATACCCACATTGACTTTTCTGACTTTGAATTTATCAGTAAACAAAATATCCATAAAAGTTAAGAAATACAGCTGAAAAGCATTTAATTGGTAACCATGAAAATCTGTTGTTGTTACAATGTTTCCTTCCTTTCTCACTTTCCACATTTGCAAGCTTAATAGGTCCTAGGAATATGAATGATGGTGAAAATTTTCCAATACATTAACCCATAAGACTTTCACTTCTATTACAAAAATCAAGCATTACAGTTAAAGTTGCAAACAATAAATTCCAGAAGAAGGCACTAAGCAAACTGGCACCTAACACAGCCATAACTGTTTCTAAAGCAATAATTTTACAGTTTCTCAGAAATACTTACAAATGATGATTTTTTTAAAGTTTATTGAGAAAACCAGCTCTTCTCACAGACTGGATAACAATACGAAAACACTTGATATTACCAGCTAACAATCTAAAGTATTAAGATATTGAAATTGTTTTAAACTTATTAAAACTCAGATCAATTAATATATGGCAGTTGCAGTATTTAACCATTAACAATTTATGAGCCATCACTACACAGAATGGTGCAGAACCTTCAACAGTAACCAGAATATAAAGTATGATTAAGTTGCCATTAAATTGGTAACTATTTTGGCAAATGCATGTTATTAAATGTTTAGCTTTCAGTAGTTAACAAAAAAGGCATTTAAACACTGATCATGAAAGGAAACAAGTGTGAAATTGTGTTAAACAGAACCTTATTAAAGAATTAACTTATGATTCTTATATAAACAAGTTTTTTTGTCTTCAACAAGGAAAAATAATTCTTATATTCCCTGCTTTACATAACTTTTGTCTAAAAATACTACCATCTCTAGCAGTTGTTCCAAAATGCCAGTCTGTGTACCAATGCTGATATACAAGACAGTTTAAAATAAAAAGTGTCTTAAAATATAGCTACTAAAGTATATTGTTTTACAATACGAGTTAAAAATCTCTTAAAAAGTTAATATTGTACAAAGAAATCTGTGAAATTTTGGGATCAGAACTAGCTGGTTCTCAGTTGGGGTTAGAAATCATTGACCTGGACAACAAATGAACGTGAAACAATTTGTAAAAATTTCCTAGTGAAATTTCATATGGTATTCTTTGAACTTATAATATTTCAGGCCGTAATTCTTGAGTCATTACCCCTATGTGAACCTGTAAAATCCACAAGTCATATGATATCTACATATAACAGCTTCAAGGATTAAATAGAAGAAACGTTATTTAATTCTTTCATGATTCTTTAGAAGTAAACATAGGTCAAAAGTTAAAAATAAAAAAATATAGAATTCAATCTGCAGATAAATATCGGACAAGTACTTCTAATAAGATTGAACAGCCTTGATGGCAGAGTTTTAATTAATAAACAACTACTCATAAACCAAATAAAAAGATGGAGACTCCTGTTCATTAGACAGTATGCATAACCACTACTTCAAAAATTGGCACAATATCTGGTAAAAATGGTGTATTGAAGAAAAAAAGTGAGGGATCCATGAGTGAAGCGATCTAGTCAAGACAGTTATTTCCAATGTCTAAGTTAGGTGATATTATTAAAAATTGCATTGAGAGACTGGTATTGGCAAACATAAGAGAAATTTACACCGTTCAAATTTTAACAAAATTGATGAAAATTAGATAATTTTGACAATTCAATACTAATAACCCGTAACTGAAATCAAGAAAGACCTTAAAATGTACACTGCAATGAAATTTTTTTTATTCATTTCATTACATCCACTGGTCAGTCTCCTAAGTGGAAAATTATTGTTTGCTCTAATGCAATCCTTCAAACATTTATTGTAGAAAACCATCATGTATCTGATTAAAAATGTTGAGAGGGGGTAATTCAATTAAAATATGGATCATGATACATAATCCTGGATAATTTGAACAGTATAGGAACTGTACATTAGGTAGCAAACCACCTAATTTTTATACATATATAGCAGAAAAAAAATTCAAATCCACAGTAAAAATTGTTCAAAAATATTTTCACCATCACAATTCACTTTTTAATACTGAAAATATGGATTTCTCAGTTTTTATAGTTTGAATTGAAAAGTCCAGATATTAAAGGTATTCAATTAGGGGCATCAGTCTATTACTAACATACACATTAAACTACAACAGAATTATTTGCTTACAAGCTCTCAGACTGAATGAACTACTATTGAATCAACTATGACACTACTTTCACAGATTTTAAAACACAAACATGCAAGGATATTTTTGATTACTAGAAAAAAACATAAAAGTGAGTCTTGAAACATTAACTGCAGAATTAGGAAAAATCAGAATTGTCTACAACACAAAACTGCTGAACAAAATTCAAAATTGGTCAAAAACGTATGCCAAAAATTAAAAAAAAAAATACAAATACAAACATAAATGAAATAAAAAGGCTAAAGAGGTAAGTCATCACTATAATATTTGGGAAACATTTATCACTACTAGATGGATACACAAACACTATTTGTACACTAGGGCTAATTGGAGTATGATAGAATACTGGTATTGTCTAGTTGTTTTAATGTTGTAACAAGATACGGTTGACATATCTCTAGTAGAATAGAGAATATATCATTATTTATCAGTAGTTCAATAAAACCTAGAACAGTACAATTTTTAGAAATACACATGACGCTTCAAATAATGTGATGTGTAAAATAATGTTATGGTAACTGTACAGTGAAGGGGATTTTGACTTGTATACATACATAGTTTTGTTTATAATACTTGTCTTGGTGTTTAAAAATAAGCTCTTCACAGAAGTATCGTATATAAATCATTTGACATGACTCGTATATGGCTGATCATGTTTTTAAGCATATTCTAAGAGTTTGAAAAATACATTTTTTTTAATCTTCTGTTTTACTTAACATATGATGAACCTTTTAATTCCCATGAAACACACAGTTAAACATTCATGACAACACCTGAATTTGAATAGTACGTTTTCTTGCTTCTTCTGCACTAGCTCTACAACACTTCTGTTTCTAGGTGTGATTTCCTGCTTCTTCTTCTTTAGGAACAGGTGAGGGTGGCTGATCCCAACGTTCATGAGTTCCTGGACCCAAAGAGGTTATGATAACATGTGTGGCTTGAACCTTCTCATTCTTTGGAGGAACAAGACAGAGCTTGTAGGTTACTTCATCATCTCGACGTGGGGCATACTCTCCTTCTATGCTATAATTGTCATAAAAAACAAATATTTGAGTATTATAAGAAATTTAAGCAACTATAAAACAAGACATCCTGATAAACTAAATTCCATTGACAAAGTCTGTAAAAAGCAAAATAAAACACAATAGTTTTACATCTTATTTTATCCAGTACAACTATATAGGCTTCAAATAAAAATGCCAGGAGGTGACCCAACTGTATTCATCAGTGTCAAACAGTCACTGAATACTATTGTGTAACTACTATGTAACTAAGTATTAGTACATCACTGAACTAGTTTTCTAAATAGCTGCTGATCAAGATTTGTATTTTATTATAATGCTAAATAATGGATTTGTCTTGCCAAGTGCTAATACAGTTGAATTCATCAAAACTTGTTCAACCTCTGATATGTCTGACACAATACCAGGTTCTACGTAGCTTAGTGTCAACGACTCAGCCATTAAACTTGTCTATTCAGCCAGTTATTGATTCAAGCTATACTTTAATTCACAGAGGACCGATTCCTAAAAATATGTTATCTATATTCACAGGTGCCATTAATAACTACCGTTTTTAACAGTAAATTTCATATGTGAATTTTCCATAACAAAATAAAAATATTCATTGTTAAAATACAGTTTTGAGGAAAGTACATACTTTACACAGATGTAAGACATTCCTATACATGTGTTTTCTTATTGAAATATATATCTATAACTAACCTGAATAACTCTTGTAGATGCTTTACAATATAAAGAAAATGTTTCTGTAACACAGATTAATTCACACTTCTAGAAGTAGCACACTGTTAAAATGCTGTATTATCTATGTTTGTTTGGAAATTACACCGAAGGGAACATAACACATTCTTGTAAGAAAAACTTAAAGAAGATTCAACACAATGCAAACTGGATTTATTTTTTGGATCATGATAAGTATAATTATATAATTAACTGTGATAAGCAATTAAGTTTCTAACAAACTTCAGTTTTTCAGAAAATAAACTAATCAAACCGATCATCTCTTAGTCGTGCTGAATCGGCATTGTTAAGAATCTTGATACTTAGTGTCACAGATAGAGGACATTGTTATTAATAAATGCTATTTAAAGAGCTTGATTGTAAATAGTGACATAACTAGACTCATTTTGAACAGATGCACATATATTCTTTCTTCATCAGTTAAACCAGGATAGGCATATGTACTTAATGATAGAAGTTTTAAACTCATTCTTATAAGCTTAAGTTGTGTAACTGTGTACATTTTTCATGCACTGAAAAAAAAATCTTGCTGTCTGAAAAAATATAGATAATTTCATAAATGCTGAAAATAATGTTCAACCGCTGAAAGTTTATACACTATACATATAATTTTTTCAGAGGGGTCACAACACTTTAACGATGCTTCAGAAGTCAAACATTACAGGAAAGGAGAGAAAGTATATATATATATCTTTTTTGAGAAACTATATTGATGGTCTTATTTGAGAATTCTTTGCAAAGATTGTATAAAATACTACTTTAAGTATTCAAACAACTTTGTCAAAGAATTCTCAAATAAAACCACCAACAATATATATATTTAAAATAAAAGTAAAAAATTATATTTCAACACATATACATTGAAAAACTTTACAGAAAAGGATACACACACTAAACCTATCCTATTCTATAGTTTGTTTCTACATATTAGGCCTAAAAACAATGTCCATTTTCCTGCTATATTAGTTTTTGATTAATTTCAAAATTCCAGTCAAAATTTATGGTAAAAAATACCCGTTTAAGTTTCCTCATAAAAAAAAAAAAAGGGTTTATCAATGTAAATATAAGTAGAATGAACTGATTGTTCCTATGTGTATAATAGGCTGAAGTATTAACTGTAAAATCATCTCTTGTCTAATATATGTGCTAATACTGGCTTTACAAAGCTGATATAAGTAATACGTACTCAGAGATATGAAAGAAAATGTCTTCTGATCCATCATCAGGTCTAATAAAACCATGACCCTTCTGACGACAGAAATATTTCACTTTGCCATGTTGAACTGGATTTGAGGCTGCCTGCTCTGATCTGTAGAAGAGAAAGAACAGGGCACTCGACAAATTCACCAGTAATGGATGAATCCTTTTTGACAATTAAACAGTTATTAGGTATGTTATACTGCACATTAATGTTCTAATGGGAGTTTTGTATTTTTTTTTATCAAAGGAGTTTTTTTACACAATAAATTCTTGCATCCAAATGAAACAATTTACCGTCACAGTTACACTTATATTATAAACACTACTACACAGTCCAAAATATCTTAATACGGAAAACTTAATATAAATACAGTTAACTTGTGAAAGTCATAAATAAATCATACATTCTATCCATATACTATTTTTTTTCCTGCAAGAAAGGGAGAGGTTATCGGCTCCCTTAACAAATTTAAATTTAATGGAATTTCTCTGGACCTAACCTAGTTTTTGTAGTTTCCTTGCTCAATATATATAATTTGTGCATGTTTATAATAGCTTCAATCTTACTTGCATGTTCTTTTTCTAGGAAAGTGACGAAGAATGCAGGATAAGCTTATTCTTTGACCATTTTTTTTTTTTATGATGTTGCTTAGCATTCAATACAAAATAATCATAAGAATCTCATGAAATGTTTATTTTGTAAAAATTATTTTACTGTCAATTAATCCAAAATACAAAACACGTATGCTCTTATATCTTGATGGTATGGGAGGGGTGTGTCATGTGGGTTTGACACATGTTCTTATATCTTGATGGTATGGGAGGCTTGTGTCATGTGGGTTTGACATATGCTCTTATATCTTGATGGTATGGGAGGGGTGTGTCATGTGGGTTTGACATATGTTATTATATCTTGATGGTATGGGAGGGGTATAAGGCCCATCAGTGAAATAATTGTTTTATTCAGTCATTCAAATACTTACTACCACGATGAATGATATTCTGTAAAAGGTAATGGCACTTGCACTTTGACACTCATTTTTTGCATGTAGGGTTAAGTCACATACTAACCAGATTTTGCAGTAAGAATTAATAACACACTATTATTTAATTTTAGCACCAGTTGTTTATTAATTTTAATATTATCAATATAATTATTTGAATTTAATTAACTTTGTTTTATCAATCACAAGAAGTGGCAAACCAGCAAGCTAATCTTGATGGTATGGGAGTGGTGTGTCATGTGGGTTTGACATATGTTCTTATATCTTCATGGTATGGGAGGCTTGTGTCATGTGGGTTTGACACATCAGTTATCAACCATTCATTTCAACCTATTCTGCTGATTTAGCAACATTTGGTGGTAAATGTACCAGTGAAAACGTATGGTGACACTGAAAAAACTGTATATATGCATTTCAGAGGCACTTTTATTCTTCACATATACATCACCTTGCACTTCGACTTGTCTGAGTCAGACTGATGTCTTCAATTCACACATATCTTGAGTACAAATACTTATGTAACACATCCTATGTAACAGACTAGAAACATTCACTAAAAGCATTCCACTTACTACATTTTATATAGATATATGTAGTAAATTCATAATTATAGTCAACATTCTTTCTCCAATATGAGATGGGTCATTTGGTTCAACCCTGTGCATATTCGGTTAAATACAGTTGATAATAATTAACATTAATTTACTTAATCTGGTTCATTAATGTGTATATAATCATGAAAACTGATTATATACACGTGTATCTGTCATACCCTAGCTGGCCTGATGAGCCCTGGTATTGAGTAAAAGGCCCTGCTAGCATTGGATATAGCAGATATTTTTGGTTGACATATTAAACCTTTTTTTATTTTCATATGAATCACATTAATGGATTATAACCTGACTGAGTTAATCCTTCACAGAATATATTAACATTATTTTAATTTTTTATTTTTACCTATTTAAGTTACTATAGGACTATATGGTCAACAATGATTAACCCAAAATACTAAATTATTACAATGGAAGTCTTCTTTCATGTAAAAAATAACTGAAAATTTGGTTACAGTGTTACACAGCTATAATTTCTAAATAGTAAACTAGTATCATACTATCACTATAAAAATGAAACATTACCACAGCTGGCATGAAGCAACTAAACATTGTTACTTGAATTTTAGTGAAATTATGTAGAGATCTAAATATTCTTTGATTCAATACTCCCACTGCAACGGACTAATTTTGCCAAATTCATGGCTCAGTAGTGCTGCTTGAAAGAGTAAAGCAAATAAATACATTAGGCCTAATATAGTGTTGAAATGTAAGCAATTTGTTTGATTTAAATGTACACTGAGTGGTCACAAGTAAATACACCTAATTTTTCGTCATTTAACTGATTTATGCTAACTAATTTGTATTCACAGACCACTATATAAATGAAAATGGTCCACACACTAATTATCTTGTGCTACAACAGGTCTATAACTAAAGTTTTGTCAGATTTTTTTGGAGGAAGGATAGTTGGTTAAGCAGATGGTGGAATAAGTCAGCGGCAAATTTTGCAGAATTTGGGAATCCGGCTTTCAACAGTCAACAGAATCATCGTGCAGTTCAGGAAACATGGCAAGGAAACAACTGAGCAGCGTCCGGGTCGTTTTGGTCCATTGGAGAGGACAAAAAGGGTTGTCAAGAGGAGCATCGAAATGGATCCCAGATTAACGACTGCAGAAGTGGCCAAAGTTGGTGGGATGAGCCC